CCGCGCCGCGCCCGCCAAAGGGACGCCGCGCGGAGCCGCGGTTTGAAAGTAAACGGCCGCGGGCGGGGCGGGGGAGTGCTCCCCGCGCCTGCGCACTGGGCGCGATCCGGCCGGTGGGAGCTGTGGGCGCTGAGAGCGCGGAGAGGCGGGGCCGAGGGGTTGCGCGCGCGGGCAGCCGGCGGTTTATGCGGGCCACCACGCGGTGGGAACGTCGATGACCGGGGACCCACCCCCATCCCGGGGACCTACCCCCACCCTCACCCGAGCGGCGACCGCCGTTGTGACCTCACAGCCGCGGGGCGGGGCGTCTGCAGTTCAGGAGACTGGGATCCGAGGATCGCGGTTCGAAGCCAGCCCGGGCAGGAACGTCCACGAGACTCTTATCTCCAATAAGCCACCAGGAAACCGGAAGTGGCGCTGTGGCTCCAGTGGTAGAGCGCTAGCCTTGAGCTGAAGAGCTCAGGGACAGCGACCAGGCCCAGGGTTCAAGCCCCACGTCCAACAACAACAAAAAGAGATTGCAAGAAACCTTTATTTTTAGAGGAAAAACCTCAGCCGTGTCGATGTTGCCCTAGACCAGATTTGAGCCCAAATTTGTACCTTAGTACACAGTACAGAGGGAAATTCTTTTCTACCCACCCCTTCTCAGCTATTCTTTTTTGGAAGCAAACTGGAAGACTACAAGGACATTTACGTCCAAAAGGACCAGAAATATCCTTGGAGTCGTTCAACTGGTTTCCTCTCCATTTACTATCCACTGTTGGGAATCACATTAGGCCAGGCACCAGGAGTCACGCTGTTATACCGAAATTCGGGAACCCCCAGAAGACCACCAGAGACCAAGATCAAAGTAAGTAACAAAGAGCCGGTTTATTGCAAGCTCCAGCTTGGTCCTCCGTGCACATGATAACTGGTGACACTAAGAGGCTCTGAGCATAGAATCAGCGCAGTTTTTATAGTATTGAACAAACAACTTTAAGGAACTTTTACATAAGAAATTACATGATTGGTTAACATTTACATTTAAAGCAAGCTAAACTGGGCAAATAATGATTGGTTGACCTTTACAGAAAAATGTCCTTGGTCCATAGCTTGACCGAAAAAGGTTACGGACCAACAGAATGCATAGCATGTCTCGCCCCGGGCTCTGAAGAAGGGGTTGGTTAGAAATTCTTAGTCCTAGGTGGGTGGCGGGCAACACCACTTGGGGGCTAACACCTGCCTTAAGCAAATGCCATCTATGGCTCCAAGAATTGTGCATGGCTTTCTGTCATAAATTCCTAGCATTGGGGCTAAAGTGGATCACAAGTCAAGTCGCAGAACTGAGATGGAGTGTTAAACAAAAATGGAGTTGCTTAGGTTTCTTAAAACATTATATTTCTTCCCTAGGGCCTTACTGCCTCAGCCTCCGGGAGGGGCGTTGCTGCTGTGGGAATAATTCTGAGGACTTTGCCCCCTTGGTCAGGGCTGTAAACCCTTTGAAGTCTTTTACTAAGCAACTCTAGGCTTCCAGGCTGACATTCCACTACTGAGTAACTAAAACCAGTCACAGTTAAAATCATACAAAAACCATACAATCATCTAGCACAAAGCAATTCATACAGAAGCAAAAAAGGCTGTTAGGTGCTGTCATATATATATATATATATATATATATATATATATATGATTATTTTTTTATGTTCTTCAACGCCTAAGATCCTATCTATCCAGGAGTCTGAGACCTGGAGGATAGAGGTCTGAAGCAGGCCTGGGCAGAAAAGTCCATCTCCAGTTAGCCAGCAAGAAAAAAAAAATGCCTGACTGGAACTGTGGGGAGACAGCTATGAGTGAAAAAGCCAAGAGAGAGTGCAGTCAGTCAGTCTTGCACTGTCGCAAAAAGCACACAAAGTAGGCAATAACGGATTCACAGAAGAGCATGCACGTTTTGTTTCTTTTAGATGTGCAGGGCGATCTTTAGAATAAAACTCAAACGACTGACAACAGCATGATGCTTTTATGTTGTTGAGATAACATACCGCTGTGTAGGAACAAGAGAAAAACGGGTACCTGTCAGGGATGGTATGGATCATTCGGATGGATGGAAGCAGGTGGAAGAAAAGGGTTGTTTCAGTTATTCATTGCAAGTCCACTGCCAAGTGTGTGGTTATCAAGGCTCTTTTCTGGCTTTGGTATGCGAAGGTCAAGCATCCCAAAAGAGTCTTTATGTCTTATTGAATGTAGGTCAGATGGCCCATGCTGAAGTTACATTTAGTGCCTAGTTTCACTCTGAAATAACATCAGTTTGGCTTGGGTTGGTGCATCTTTATTGACACTATCAAAAAATACAGTTAGCTTAAGAACATCGCTCATCTCATCTTGTTTTTTACCTCAGAGATTCACGTTATAAACAGTGATGTGTGTCTTTGTGACAGGACATTTTGTTTGGGTTTGCTTTGTTGATTTCACTGATAGAATTCACCGGCTTCCAATAGCCACATAAGCCATATAACCATAAGTCTTTCTGCCACCTGCTAGGGGGTTGGGCCAAAGCTTAACAATTCCCTTATTCCTTTTTTTTTTTTTTGGTCAGTCCTGGGGCTTGAACTCAGGGTCTGTACTCTGTCCCTGAGCTCTTTTGCTGAAGGCTAGTGCTCTACCCGTTGAGCCATAGCACCACTTCCAGTTTTCTGATCATTCGTTGGAGATCAGAGTCTCAGTGACTTTCCTGCCCAAGGCTGACTTCCAACGGTGATCCCCAAACCTCAGCCTCCTGAGTAACTAAGATTACAGATGTGAGCCACCAGCACCCAGCATGATTCGCATCTTTCCAGGCCAAATAAATTATTTTTCTTCAGCTGACTTCTGTATTTGAAATTTGAGCTGCAGTTTCAAGAGACAAGATGACAAATGAACAGGAAGTGTGAGCTCCACCTGGCTGAGGGCCACAGAGAACAGGGAGGTTTGTGAAGAGTGGTAGGGAAGGTGTGCGGGGTTTTGAGGATGGGACAGCCTCTTCTGGAAAGATCCATTCAGTCCTCTTAATGTCTGCACTCCACCTCAAGCTGAGAGGCAGGGCCTGGGAGACTGGTGTTTAGTAAACGTGTGGGAAAATCTAAGAGGTGGAGAGTGGCTACAGCATGCCAAGCGTTGGGCGTGGTTGTGGGACGAGTAGAGAGGAGACCATGAGGAATGAGGAGGTGGCCCACCTCCCTTTCCCGTGTCTGTGACACTGACAGTTCTGAAAGGCGACTGGGGTTTTGCCACTTCTTGAAATGGCCCTAGGTCCTGGCTTTAGCAAATAGGGACCAGAAAAGCCAGGCGTCTGCTGGGGCTTCCAAAGTGAGGCAAGAACTTTCCCCCACAGAGTGAACTTTGAAAGCACAGTGGAAACACAAAATTAAACCCACTATGTCATTGATGGGTTCTTCAAACCGCCAGTTACACTGTGTTGAAAACAAGTCATCGTTTCAACCACCTGTCAGCAGACAATGGGACATCTATGAGTTGAGCACAAAAAGATACTGTTCCAATGAGTCAATGTTGGCACAGAAGGGCCTCATCTTGTGATGGGTTCAGTAAGCCCTCACTGTTCACCACTCCCTCACATCGCCTCTCCTCCTCCCTGCTTCTGATTGTGCTGTCTCCCAAGCAATACACAATCTATTCACTTTTTGTTTGCCAGTCCTGGGCTTGAACTTCTAGGCCTGGATGCTGTTCCCAAGTCTCTTGGTGCTCAAGGCTAGCGCTTTACTACTTGAGCTACAGCCCCACTGCTGGCTTTTTCTGAGTAGATAAGTATTGGAGACAAGAGTCTTATGGACATTTCTGCCCGGTCTGGCTTTGAACCACGATCCTCAGATGTCAGCCTCCTCTGAGTAGCTAGGATTACAGGTGACGAGACCAGGTTGG